GTTGTCATCATTTATTAGCTCACGATTCCCTGAGCTCAGGAGTCCAGCCTGGCTGGGCTGTCTGCAGGGTGGGGCTCACCTCTCAGTCCCTGGGACCCTTGGCCTTCAGAAGCCTTCTCACCAGAGCACTTTCCTTCGTTTCTGATTCAGGCACTCCCCTCCCTCCTTGCATTCAATCCACTTCAAACCTGGGAAGAGCTGCGAAGAATGCCTGGATGTAAACACAGGCGAGATCCACTTAGGAGGCACTTTCAACGAGATTCTCCAGGTCTTGTGGAACCAAGTGGAACCCCGCTTGCCTTCCCAAGTCTCACTCCTAGGAGTCTGTCTGCCCATACATGTGTCTGCTGGGGCCATGGCCTCAGAATCAGGAAGTGACTGCCCTGTCCCAATTAGCAGCTTTTTGATAACATTAAAATGGCACTTAGCATAGATTACTGGGCTTGTCTTATCTGGGTGGCAGGGGGAGGGAGGGAGAACTCTGTCTCCTCACAGTGCTCAGCACAGAGGAGCTGGGGAGTCAATATTTGTTGAATTTGGTTGGAAGGAGAAAAATTTTGGTGAGAAAGAATTCTAAATCATAGTCATGTCTAAAACGCTAAATCAGACTTCTGCTACCCTCACTGATTTCCAGTGAGTGCATCAAGCTTGTCTTATTTCCACCGTAAACTCTTGAACAAGCTGCCCTGAAGTCAGCATTGCTTCCGATTCTTGGGAGTTGTTTCTCTTTCCTCTTCGTTGGATTTCCTGGCTCAGGACAGGAAGGGCTTCTCAGAGCTAATGGCCTGGCTGAGTCTCCAAAAACAAGCCAGTTCAAGTTCCTCTAAAAGCTTCCTGACAAGTCATAGAACAAAGAAAAGCAGTTGACCCTTGAACAATACAGGGGTGAGGGGCACTGACCCCACGAACAGTTAGAAATCCACATATAATCTGTGACTCCCCCAAAACTTAACTATTAATGGCTGATTACTGACCAGAGGCCTTACCCAGAGCAAAAACAGTCCATTAACACATTTTTGTATGTGCTATCTATTATATACTCTATTCTTACAATAAAATAAACTAGAGCAAAGAAAATGTGTAAGAAAACTATAAGGAAGAGAAAATACAGAATTTATGAGAAATCACATATAAGTGGACCCACACAATTCCAATCCATGTTGTCCAAGGATCAGCAGTACAAGCGTCCCGTAAAACACAGGAAACAACGCAAATACGAACAACAATGAGATGCTGTTTTTCACATACAAATTAGCAAAAAATTAAGAGGCATTGTAGCCAGCTGGTAAGGACATGGGGGCGTGGGGAGAGGGAAGAAAGGGAGGGAAATTAACTTGGACAGGTTCGCCTTTTCATCAAGTGACCCCAGGGCTAGAGATTTACCAGCCGGTGCCCTCACCAGGATGCATGTCCACGGGAGTTCACTGCGAAATGCAGGAACACACCAACTGTCCATTCACTGATGAGATCATTGATGATGTGTCTATAGAGGAATTCATACAATACACTCCCCCCACTCACACACACGTGGTCCTCTCCCAAGCCCTTCTCTTCCTTCCACCCAGTTTATAGGACAATGTAGCTTTCAAGGCACTGGATTGAGCTTGCCTTCCCCACTGAGATTGCAAATTTGCGAGAGCAAAAATCCGTCCTTCTAAACCCCAGCACCAAGACGTGTGGCAAATGCAGACTCACTCGGTTTCCAGTTGTTTAAATTCATTGGTGAGAACAGAAAGCCATTAACTTGTTAATGAATGGGCGAGGTTTCATCACGAGCTGTTGGGTGCTGAGGGGGGTGGGGTCAGAGGCCCTGCCGTCCTAGCTGGAGGGACGCCACAGCCCAGCCTGAATGTTCCGGAACAATGACAGGTAAGACACGATGCGTCCCAGGAGTTCTATGATAACGGTAGCCTTGTACCTGAAAACCTCATCATTGTACTGCAGAAGTGGCTGTCCTTTTGGTTAACTCTTTAGTTGGGGTTTAATTCTGTATGTTCTCGACCAAGCTAACATCTATCCCATCTCCAAATGTGTTTTCTTCCTTGAACCTTAGACACGGGAAGTCCGTCTTTTGACTATGATGTTTTTTGGTTTGACTGTTCTTGGTTGGGTGGGTGGTTTTAAGCCAAATGCTTACTTGTATGATTTTACATACAGCTCTGTCTCCTGGCCCAGTTCTTAATGCCCCCCTCTGAGGGCAGTACGAGAACTCCCAAGGCCAAGAGTATCTGTCGGGAGGAGGCGGGCGGCCTGGGCCTGGAGACCCCCACTCCAGCGTCTCCTCCCCCAGGCCTGGTGCTCTGTGGTCTCCGACACAGAATCG